GCTCTCTACAACTACCTGAAAGGAGGTTGTAGCGAGGTGGGGACGGTCTCTTCTCCCAAGTAACAAGCGATAGGACGAGAGGAAATGGCCTCAAGTTGCGCCAGGGGAGGTTTAGATTGGATAGTAGGAAAAATTTCTTCCCCGAAAGGGCTGTCAAGCGTTGGAACAGGCTGCCCAGGGAAGTGGTGGAGTCGCCATCCCTGGAGGTATTTAAAAGACGTGTAGATGCGGCGCTTAGGGACATGGTTTAGTGGGCATGGTGGCATTGGGTTGATGGTTGGACTTCATGATCTTAGAGGTCTTTTCCAACCTTAATGAGTCTATGATTCTATGACTGTACACTGTATGTAAATAATGCAATGTAATGGACTGTACGCTGTATGAAAAAGCAGCTCACGGTCTTTTGACTTTTACCCGTAGGATAGCTAGGCCTTTCTGTTTGCTGGCAGGTTTATTTTTTTTTGCCACACTCACTAAATATACAGACACTGCTGAGAAAATTGTGACGGCAAGCTGAGTGCCTGACAAAATCAGTTCTTTGCTGACAGAAAGGCCAAACTTAGAGGAACAGCCTACAACAGGCAAACGAAGTACAGGCAAAACAGAAGAAAACAAGCATGCACTTACAAGAAACAAAATACAAAGATACATAGATAGCCAAGCTAATGTGTTGCTCACCCATAGATGTACACATCCAGCCTGCGTGGGCTCTGGGGCAGAGGATCAAGAGCAGGAGCCTCCTGCAAGACTTGTCAGAAGGCTCGGAAAAGCTTGGATGGGCCTCAAAGACAGGTAAGAGACATCAGTTTACCCAACTTATATGGCAATCCTAACAGCAATAAAAGCTGAAATAACACAAGTGGGAACAAACTAATAGGAGATGTGAAATCACCTGATAGGCCACCTCCTATTAGGACGGAGAAGACCAGACCTTAGTTTATCAGTGTATGTCACCGTATTTTATCATCTATAGCTATAAATCATACAATCAGGGTTCAAATTAAATTAGGTCCAGTAACGGTCTCAATATTGACTGCAGAGTAAATCTGGAGCGTATCCAAGGGCCCCTCCTGCAAATCAGTAAACCAGCCCTGAATTTGCAATAGCCAGCAGGGTCCTTCTAACCCAGAGGACCTGGACGGCACTTGCAGCATCACCGGTGGGCAGGGACGTCTGGAAGTATCGATGCTAATACAACATTCACCAAGGCCCAAGAGTCAAATCCTAAACTGGGCCTGAATCCAGCCCTCCCACCGTCTGGGAGTGCTCCATTTTCAGATCCTCTTCCAGGGTTTGTTTGGCAAAAGAGCCCTCTCAAGAGTGGGGACTGCCTGCACACAAGCACGACTGCTGAGAGCCGTTTTTACCCGCAGAGCCTGAAGCGCAACAGAGAGCAGGTGAACAAATGCTCACATTAAAGGGACTCTGGGTAAGAAGATAAGGAAGGGGTACTCCAGATCCAGAGGAGCTGTAACTATTTAACTGTTCTGAAATTAATCTGTTTCCTTCTCCCCATTCTACTTTGTGCTGTGCTGCGTTCTTCAAAGGCAACAGTTAAATTCCTTGATGCTGACTCAGAAAGGAAGGCTCCTTTCAGCTGCAGTCCACAACCGCATCCTTGCAGCACCTATTACTTTCCCCGGTAAATAGATTCAGTCATTAGAACAAGACTTTATTTTAAAAAGCTTGCATGCCATCTCCTAGGGGTAAAAAAGTATGGAGGAGAAATGTCACGGTGCGTGGCACGAACAGAGTAACCTGGGCACCCACAGTAATGTAAGATGGAAGATAGCTGTATACCACAGCTGACTGAGGAGAGGGGACGGGGGGACACTTGCTAATCCCCAGTTAGAAGAGAGCATTCAGGAATAAAGGACTAAGGCAAGCCATAAATAAAAATAAATTTAAAAACCCCAGCAAGAACAGGGTTCAGTAGGACTCAATAGGACTAACTCCACCACAACTGTATACATCCAATAGGCCAGCAGAATATTGCTTAAGAAGTCTGGAGTCATCTGAAATTAGAAGCTTAGGGCAGTTATAAGGATCTATTGTTTTGGGCAGAACTGCAGCCATATGAACACCTTATGAACATAAGGTGTACTCTGGTTTTATGCTTGCTTGCTTTTTCTCCATTTTTTGGTGAAGAACGTGAGGTGGGGGAATAGGCAGGGAGTCACACGAGAACTTGCGGTGGCAGAACATAATTCCAGATGGGATATAGCCAGGGCACCAGAATTTGCGCGTTATAAAGAAGTTACAAAGAAAGGGGAAGTATTGCAGACACGTGTTCGAGACTCAAAGCTCATTTCCACGCTTGAGTCACCTTTCTGTCCTTCCCTCCTGTTGTGAAATATTTAGAATATACTGCAAATATTTAAAGAAAAAAGCCCATGCAAACAGTTCAAAACCTGTACTTTTAAATTAACCAGTACAACAAAGCCAGGAGGGCAAAGGGCTGGTAATGAAAAAACCAAGGATCTGGTGTTAGACCTGTAATCACCCTAGGAAGTCATTTCTAGGAACACGAAACAGAAGCTGTGCTTTAGGCCGACATAGCCCTCACCTGCGTGAGCCTGCCTGCTTCGTTTAGCCAAAAGGAATAGGGTTGTGGCAAGTTTAGACAGATCAGGGGCTTTGGTGCCCTGGCGTGCGTATTTATATGAATCAGAGTGAAGAGCTGCGGTTTGGAGGCCAAGAATCTGCATCTTCGTCTGTATTGCATGATCCAGTCTTCAGAAACTTCCCGCTTTTATAACCACCCTCTGCATTTTAAAGCTTCTACTTAAAAACAGGTTTCAGCACAAGTTCTAAGTTTTCTTTTCTCCTTGCAGTAGTGCAGTTTTCAAGGACAGGTAGCTTGTAGGAAAGATGTAGGGAGCATTCTTGAGAGAGGGAGAGACTGAAGAAGTTCAGGAGGGAGTCGGAGAAACAGCCTGGGTTTTTTTCCTCCCTCCAAATGCTGGCTCTCAATCTTATGTGCTTAGATTTCAGAAATAGAGCATCGCCGAATGAGTCTAGAGCAGGACCATTTATATTAAAAGGCTTTTACACATGTATCACATATTTCACTATGGGGTTTTAATACCGCAGTTTAAAAATAAGATTTTTAGAAAAAATTATTATTTAAAACCTATTGAATTGACTTGTAATACAGACTTTTCTTGGATAATCAAAGCTGATGGTGTTTGGGGCATGTATTTTGATATTCAGTATAAATACCAGACATAGTCCCCTCATCAATCTTAACTGCACATTTATCTGTTTTAATGCAATCAGCTCCTATCTTTTGCTTTAGACCTTTAATACTGCCTGCTTAAAAAAATGGGTAACAAATCAGTCTAACAATAATCGCCAACTAATAAAAAGACAAATCTTTTTGTTACACCCTCCCAACAGATTTGTCGTTGAACTGTGCGTTCAGTGAACGGAATAAACCAGAAGCGAGAGTGGTTTGGGGCATCTGCCCCCCTGCCTCCTCCTGAGCCCAGGAGCCCTCCCAGCACCCCCACTTTTTATGAACCGGACGCTGTTTCTGGACTTTTTAAGAAACAGGGCCCTCTAGGGGAAGGTGGGTGAGCACTCACTAGGAAATGTTAATGCTCTACCAATATTTCTCCGTGGTTTCACGGTTCCTGCAAGGTGCAATGGAAGGGTTTTTTCCTGCCTCTTGGCGAGAAAATCCCTCCCCAAAATTCTGCCAGGTGCTCTTTCTGTGCTCTTTCTCTATTTCTAGTTACCTGATCCACTCATAGGCTTTCCACTTTATCATGTTTAAATATATTTCTTTAATCGCACTTAATTTAAACTTTGGATCTTACAAGTCTGCTTTGTTAATTTGTAATTTGCTTTGTTCCCAAACCACTGGGCGCTGAAGGAATAAGCAGACCTTGTCTTTTCCTCCTCAGTTTCTCTCTTACCTCCTTAATGAGGGCGATTTCTTACAGCACAAACCAAAGTTTGGGTGCTCTGGGGTAGGCAGGCTGCGGAGGTGACACCCCACTGAAGAGCCATCCCAGCACCACGTAAAAGAGAGGAGACGGGAGGAAGCACCGATTCAGTTCCGCTCGGCTTTTGTCTTCTGAAACTACCAACGGGAAGAAGCTCCTCGGAGCGCTCTGCTGCTCGTGCAGATCAGGCCTTTCGGACAACGGGGATGTCGTTATTTTTGGGCTATTCTGCATTCACCATGGATGTCTACCGAGTTCACCTCCGTAGGTAACCGAACCTACTTTGAACTCGAGCATTTTATGGCAGGGAATGTTCGTTTACGTACTCTGTAAATTATCAGCCAGCTGTGGTTCTGTGGAATTAGCAAAGACTTAGAGGTAGAGAAGTTACAAGGGATTTGTGACAGTGTGCACGCACAAGGTTAGCTTTCGCCTTTTTATCCTAAATAAAAGGTGGGAGTTACCTGCTGGCAAACTTCTCGGCCCTTCAGGGTGAGGCAGGGCCTCTGCACTCACTGCACTGTGAGCATTACCAGGCAAGAGCATTGGAATTTAAGGACAAATTAGGCAAAAAAATTAAGATTTATACCTACAAACTGACTACTGTTTTGAAGGTTAAAGTTTACATGAACACAAATCCCATATGTTCTCACCAGCTCCAGCTTTGGTTTTTGTAATCCTTCCCGGCTCTTCCTTTTAATGTTTTTTTAAAATACAGGTTGTTGTAAGTAAGACATTTCAATGAATCCAGATCAGGGTCCTCCAGATTAATCGGTGATCTTCCCTGAAACTATGGAACCTTCAACTGAGATAATCTTAAGATCCAGATGTGTTAATCTGGTGAGTTTTCTGTGCAGCTCCACATCAGGGTAACTTGAGTCGGGTATTCCTCTTGCCAAGATGCCAGAATGTGGGAAGTGCAGCTTACAAGGGAAACGCTATTGTGTGTTAAGACAAAAGACTTTCAATTAAGGAAGATATTTAACACCACCAGTGACATCAGATAATCTGGATACGTGGCTGTGTTCTGTGCAGCGGGTATAAAGGCCTGGCTTGCTGATGCGCGATACCGTACCGTGACACTGCGGCTAGGCTGGCCAGTCTGGATTGACTCATGAAAATAAGCTGTTTTCTACGCGATTCAAAAGATAGAGATTTTCCAGATCTCAAAATACACTTTCACTGGTATAGCCTATTTTATTCCATTTTAGCCTTGTGACTATAAAGCTGCTGAAAAACAAATGTGATAGAAAACAAGTGTTTGATCTTATCCTAACTGAGGCCGAGATGTGTTTTGTACCTTGGGAGACCGACTACGGCTTCAGTCAAACTTCCCTTACACAAGCTCCATGGTAAGTACTGTGTCCATCCCGTGCACAGCGACAGAAGCCCGAGGCTGCAGAGCGAGGTGCTTTTGATCCACTTTCACTAAAGAATCTGCTGCAAAACTGTAGCTGGGTATATATGCAAAAAAAAGTTCTAGCCAATTTTTGTGGTTTTTTTAAATTCAGTCATAGCTAAAATAGACTGTTTAATTTGAAACAAGAAGATCCACACACTCTCTTAACCCAAAACAACTAAAGGCCTAAATTAAACAAACCTAAATGTTTTGGTTACTATTTCTGTGCAACAAGCCTGCATTTGCAAAACCACAAGTGTTAAAAGCTGTAGGTTTCCACACCTGTTGGGGCATATTAGGCCAATGAAAGTCAGTCCAAGATGATGAAATTATAGGGTTGTGTCTTAATTGAAAGCAAAATTCTTCATCTCGGAAAGACTTGAATGCAAACTTACGTCTTCTACGCAACAGCAGAGCTAGTGAAGACAAAGACTCATTGTGCCTGAAGTTAGCGGTCGCTAAACACGTCTGTACAGCCCATGGGATCTCCCACGCCTCGCTCACTTAGAGCTAGCCTCAGGTATTCGCCTCCTAGTTTACACTCCAAAGCAGCGCAGCCTCGTGGACTCTCTCCCCCAGCCCGCTCCCCAGTGCGGCAGGATCTGCCCATCCAGCTCTAGCCAAGCAGTGAGTCATCTCAGACGCTGAAGGAGGAGACACAAGGGAAGCTCTTCATCATGCAGCATCTAAAAACCTCCACACTATCTCCAAGTGAGGCCAACTCAGCGCTAGGCAGATGAGCTGAGGTCCGGAGGGGGAGAGCAGGTCTTCGCAGGACCCTGGCCTGAGCAAGCCCTGGGCGGGGGGGAAATCAAGGCGCACTCTTCTTCTGGTAATACAATAAAAACTGCACCATGAAACTCCAGAAGCCAGCCTGGCCAATCTACCTGTGAAGAGGCGCAAGGCATGGTGGAGAGGCAGCCTGGCAAACACAGGGAACGAGAAGTTTTTTGGACAGAGCGGGTTTTGGGTTTTTTTAAATGAAAATAACAGCTCAAAGGAGTACTGAGGCATTCAGTCATTGTTTACTTAAAATGCTTGAGAGATGCTTCTAGAAAACTCAAAAATGTAAGACCTATTCAGCCTTCACACCTTTTTTCTATCCTGACCAACTGAAGGTAGAAAGCCCCCGGGAGATGTGCTGGCCATCAGAGACCACAACCTGGGGACCAGCCAGGCCCTCCTCTAACAAGGCCAGCTGGGGAGCCGAGAAGGAGATCTCCTTCTGTTACTGCTCCTCATTGCTTCAAACGCTGTTCGGGATAGCATCTAGGCTTTGGCAGATTTGTGCTAGATTTTGACCTAAATGATTATTTTGGGGATGGGAGGCCGGCTATCTCCATGAGAAGAACACAGGAGCACTCACATTGAATTTTCCCCACCCCTTCACGCTTGGCACTTTTCTTTGGGACACAGGAGTGACTGCATAAACCACTGCACTTCAGCCAGACTCTTCTCAGCAGCGCCCAGTGGAAGAGCAAGAGGCAATGGGCACAAATTGAAACACGGGAAATTTCATCCTAACATAACACTTTTTTACTGTGAGGGTGACCGACCACTGGAACAGACTGCCCGAAGAGGTTGCTTTGACAGGTTTCGACTATGTGACTATGACTTTGGACATGAGGAAAAATTTCTTTACTGAGAGAGTGGTTCAACATTGGAACAGGCTGCCCAGGGAGGTGGTGGAGTCCCCATCCCTGGAGGTATTTAAAGGACGAGTAGATGAGGCACTTAGGGACATGGTTTAGTGGACATGGTGGTGTTGGGTTGACGGTTGGACTCGATGATCTTAGAGGGCTTTTCCAACCTCAATGATTCCATGACCTCCAGCAGTCTTTTCCAGCCTCAGCTACTCCACGGTTCGGTAATACGGTGATGCTCTTCACATGATTATTCCACAATTTCCCAACTTTCACTAACACCACTTGCCAACAGCCCTACAGTTTCACGCAGGCCGAGTGTCTTGCTCAAGGCCATGCAGTTTAGCAGAGCTGGAAATACACATAAGAAACCCTGATCCTCGGCCTTTTGCTGAACAACCAAAAAGCAACAGCGCTTCCCCTTTCCCATTTCACCCAGATCGCTCTCACTTGGGGAGGATGAAGTGCACGTGACACACAAAGCTGCCTGCAGAACCTCCATCCTGCACGTGCACATTTCAACCTGCTGGAAGGCAATCCGACGTCATCACGGCCCCGAGGTGCCACGTTTGGCCTTTTAATGGGACAGCGCGGAGGAAGGAATAGGGAGAGATTTTGCGCAGCTGGCAGTAGAATCTGTTAAGTCAGCAAAAGAAATATTTAAAGGAGATCATAGAACATGATTTAAAACAGTCTTTGGATGTTACATTTTTATT